TTTTACTCATCAAGATATTTGTTTATAAATAGAAACTTTGACTTACATAAGTAACCTTCTGGTGCTGACTCATTCAGGAGAGGTATAATCTAGTGTTTATAATGTCAGAACTAGAGCTGGGCAAATAATGGATTTTTCAGTTTGCTGGCAATGCCAAAATATAAGCAAAAAGATTCATTTTGGATCAAACCAAAAACCATTTTTTCTAACTGTTTTGGTGAATTGAAAAACAATATCAAGTCAGGTCAAAATGTTTCTTTTTTACCTGACATTTTTACGAAAGCAAAGGAGGGACCTCTTTTATAACCTTTTGCCCAGTGGTTATGGTTCTAGCCTGGAATGTGGTAGACACAGGTTCAGTCCCCCCTTTTGCCTAATATGGAGAAGAGATTTGAACTTGGATCTCCTACATTGCATAAGAGTGTCCTAGCCACACAAGCTATGGGATATTTTGGTGTGAGTCTTTGTCAGTTTCTCCTGTTGAAGCTGTTCCACATTTTATAAATAATTAAATTGTTATTGGAGCAGGGACTTGGGTCTTCTACATCTTAGATGAGTGCCATAACTGTCAGGCTATAGAGTTATTCTCACTCTTTTTAGTCTCTCATTCTCATTCTCTCATTTATTTGCCCCCCCCCCCAAAATCCACCTAGCTCTAATCAGAAGTGACCACAAGGTAAGTGGTTATAATGTCACTAAAACAGGACCATAGTTCCATTGAGTGAGTTAGGCAGGAAGAATGGAGTGATTAAAAGTTGTTTTCTCTTTATATACAAATATCTTGCTAATCATCAGTGATGTTACTGAAAAGTAGATGAAAGTTTTTGGTAACGCACAGTATTTTTCAGACTTTTCTGGAGTGTGTTCCCATAATTGGTTTTTATGTTTTAGTTCCTTTATTTTTAACAGTACTATTGTATTTCATGAAAAGAAGAAAATAAAATTCAGTCTTCATTAACATAGTATCCAATATTTCAAACATCGTATAATGTAGGCTGTGGGTCTAATACCATTAAATTGTTTGTATTCAATGTGCCATTGAAGTCAGTACAGTTTTACTTAGCATCTATAGTTTGGATATAAACAGTATGGATTATAGATGTGTGAAACTTGTTACAAAACTGTAGTTGCTTTTTAAAGCTGAAAAACTGTAACAAGGCCATAAAATATTTTATTGTAATGCAAAAGACTCTACTCTGTAACATAAACTAAGTGCGTATAATATTTTCATAATGAAGTCATTTTTAACTAAAGTTTGTCTTAAAACATGTGAAACTAAACAAAAACTACCATGGCTTATTGAATTTAAGCCCTTTTGCTATGAAAATGCACATCATAGCTGATGTTTCAGCCAGATGTGAATTACAGAAGTTACATAAAGCACATGAAAAACTAGGTTTTAGGACCATTAACTGTATTGACCCTGCTGTCCATTGCTATGAAGTTAGACCTTAATGAATACTGTCTGACCTTCCAAAGGATTGTTATCCAGTTTGATTTCTCTTCATCATTGTTTCTGAAATACATGTCACCTGAAAATGAGGAAATATGCTAAAATTAATACAGAAGCAACTTATGTTTCATATAGTACATGATAGAGTTGGCCTATTATGACAGTTGAACTCAGTTTTGAAACAGTCCATGAAAACTGATGCTTCTTTTCACCATTCCATTTTTAGTCTCCTCATTTGTCAAGATAAATTTAATTTAAATCCTAAACTATATTTTCTACATATACACCTCTACCCCGATATAATGCGACCCAATATAACAAGAATTCGGATAGAACGCGGTAAAGCAGCGCTACGGAGGGGGTGGGGCTGCGCACTCCGGCGGATCAAAGCAAGTTCGCTATAACGCGGTTTCACCTATAACGCGATAAGATTTTTTGGCTACCCGGGACAGCGTTCTATCGAGGTAGAGGTGTAGTTATATGTAAGCATTTCATAGAAAAATGCTTACCCGGCACAAAGCCTAAGTAAAAGCGCTTTTGCACAGCCATGTTCCGTGTGTTGGCAAGGGGCAGATTTGCCTTCCCAGGCTACAAAGCAACAGCCCATAGTCAAAGATCTCCAGTGAATATGGGTGCAGGTTCTGTGCAAAATGGGGATGTGTCATATGTTCTGGAGTAACATAAGATAATTGAAGTGGATCCCCAGTGTGTCACCATAAGTTTAAAAAAAAAATCAGTTTGATTGACTAGTGTGATATAACTTGCAGAAATTGCATACTACGGCTGTCAGTCCTGTAAAATGGGGCAGAACTACATATAAAAGTTGAAGCATATACTTTCAAGTGTCCACTAGTTTTAGATGCCTCGATTTTTAGGTGCCCAACCTGAGAAACGTAGAGCCTGATATTCAGGTGTGCTGAGCACTCACTTTTCTATTGGTTTCAGTGAGAGCTGTGAATGCTGAGCACCTCAGAAAGTTTAGGCTTTAACATGTATATAAAAATGTGGGGTTAACTGATTAATTTAAAGAAAAGCAGTAAATGAGCTATTGAGGGTTGGTTTGCACTTCTGATGCCATCTTATTAAAGCTGTTATAATGTCTTTAGTTTTACAAAATTAAATACAATAGTTAATTTTAAATCAGATTACTATAAACAGTATTATAGAGGTTTGAGTTCCACTAGGAATAAAGCCTTGAAATTTAGCAAGTTTCTTTTTCAGATCTTTTTGGTCATTGTTTGTCAAACTGGCTACCCCAGCTCGGTTCGGTGTGGACTAACTTCTGATATGTTTGTGAAAGTTATGGGTCTGTGTGCCTGTGTTATGTATTAAGATTTCTTCTTTGGGTTCAAGAGGTTATAAAATTGACTATATGAGAGATGAAGTCCTTCAGTCTCAGGCTGATTAAGAGTGAACACAAGGGTAATGTGACACTCTTTGCACTGTCTTGCTAACAACTCTCTCTCTCTCCACACACACACACACTATCTATATATGTGTATGAAAAATCTTTCTGAGAGTATAAAGTAACTTAATCTTTCTACTACAGTAAGTATTTTTTTAATTTGCCCTAAAGATAAAGAGCCAGTTACAATAATTTTATGACCCACAGTGGTGTCAATAAGTGATCTGAAACCAGAAGACTATTAAGGAAAAAAGTGTTAAATGCAGAAAGAAGTGTAGATTGGAACAAACTGTGTGATGCTTCCACACAATAAATTCTTCTTCAATTAACCCATTACTATGTTGTATATTGACTAGGACTGAGTGGACCCCATATTCAGTAGATTACCTAAATTAGATAAACAGGTTACTTTTAAATGTAATTCACCTGTTATTTCAGAATCTTTGTTTACTTCACTTCAGGAACACAGTATTTAGAGACATTAATAGAATCTTAGGCACAGATTTAGAGGTAGCGCATCCACTCATGATATAGAACACTTGATTAGTCCTATAATTAAATGGTAACATTCTCATCTCCCTTGGACTTAAAAATTATACTCATTCACTAGAAAAGTGTTTCTGATGATGCTTTAGAGCAGTGGTATTTCATACCATATAATAGTTAAATATGGAAACATCTATGCATCTTACACCTTTGTACTAGTTAAATCTGAAGAAATTTGGGATTTAAAAATGAAATATTTTGGTGAAATATAAATTTTCTTAAGTGACTAATATATTTTACATTAAAAATAGCATTTAGAAGGGCATTGATTGTAAAAGTTTTCATATTCTACTAGAATAGCTGTTTCACATTTTCTGTACTATTTTAATGTATATTCATTAAGACTCTGATCTTGCAGGCTTATGCATGTCTGCAACTTTAAGCATGTGTAGTCACATTGAAGTAAATCAGACTATTCGCTTGAGTGAAGATGCATGCATAAGCATACACAGGATTTGGAGCCTTAAATCCCAATTTTGCAACTGGCTCCACACAGGGCCCCTACGCGCATACAGAGCCCTATTGGCTTCAGCAGTGCTCCACACTGACATTGGGGTCTGTCTGCGCAGAGCCAGCTGCTGCATCAGGGCTTTGTGATGGATTCTGTCCTCTCTAGTGTTGTGAACAGAACTTTTTGCATAAGATCACTTTGAAAGGCTGCTTGCCCTAGACTTGCTTCAAAACTCAGCTTTCAGAGTACTCTTTTACTGAAAGATACATTTTTCTCAGACATTTAACCTCAAATTTTAGAACCAAGAATACGAGAACCATTAACAGAACATTTATGAGGAAACTTTTTGAGACAGGTCTATCAGATATAGTACAACAATGGCTTTTAAAACTCCAACCCATTTCAGAATTGTGTCCCTAGTTTGGATGAAAACTAATGGTGAATTTAAGAGCTGTGTTTTTTTTCACTAGATTACAGCTACACCTGCTTCTCAATTACCCGTGATATCAGAACAACAAAGTGCCCTTGTTTCCAATTTTGTTTTATTCCTTATCTTTGAGATATAAAAGATATGCCAGGAGGCGGAAAGAGCTGTGTGTCAAAGAGGGCCCAAATGGTTCAGATGCATCTTGGGTTTGATTTTCAGTTTAATAGCAGCAGTCTTAAAAAAGAATGTAAGATTTGACAAAAGGAGCTTGCAGACATCAGCTGGCACATGAAAACATATAATACATGTCACACTGAACCCTCACAGCCTCCACTGGAACTTGTGGCTTTTTTCTTCCCTTTTTTCCTCTCACAGAGATGAAGTCATCCTGATAAACTTCTCTCGCTCTTTCTCTCCCTCCCCCTCCTTTTTTTTTTTTTTTTTTATCCGTAGAGGCCTTTATGTTTTTCTAATAATTGGCAGCAGAGGTACAATTTTTCCTCTCTTTTAAGTGATGAATAGTTGGCCCTAGATCAAAGACAAGCCCTTGTGGTTTTCTGGCTGCCACAAAAGGGCGTTGGAATTGGCACAGATCCCAGCTGCTTAGTGATAGGCATGTAGATGAGGTGCCAAGCGTAGGGGTCAGTGGCAAAGTGTCTGTACACATTCTTCATCTGAGCTAATCTGGTTTCCTTTTGTGTGTGTGTGTCTATTTCAGGCCAACAGCAGGTTGAAGCAGATTGAAAAGGAATACAGTCAGAAGTTGGCCAAATCTTCACAGGTAGGCAACATGAAAACAAAAACCTCAAATTAGTTAGCTTGATTTGGAAACTTAAAATGAAAAATGTATTTACCGTACTTCTATTCTGGAACTTTATTTTTCTTATGTTCAAAACTCCCTGCTACTCCCCCAAAATCAAATATCAATTGCCTTTCCCAAATGTTATTACAGTACTTTAAAAAAAAAAAAAAACAGAAAATTTAACTGACCAATTAAAGCCTTTTTTAAAAGCTTGCTGTTTCTTAGCTATTGGGAGTCAGATCCTGCCAGGAGCATGAGCACCATTGACAATGAGTCAATGAGAACAGTCAATGAGAACTGAGGCAAAATTGGCCCTGTATGTAGGCCTGCATAACCGTGCATTTTGTAAAAACAGCAAAGGTTGCTTGCATAACCGTAAAGTGTATAGGCTATTACAAGGCAGTTCTTGGCCACATATCTGATGACATAATTTGAGCCCAACGATGCAGTTTTGATATTTACCGTTTGTAGGGCTTTAACCAATCCAATAATTTTGCTGAATGCTGACATAGCTTTTTAACAGCCCAAAACATTTAAAAAGAATTCTAGATTACATCATGACATAAAAGAGAACTGCTTTTTCTTAATTGAGGGAGTTTTTGTTCATTAATGTAAAATGTTTTTTTGATGACCCTTGACATGGGAACTGAAAATGTATATTCAATTTACCCTTACAGTTAAAGTCAATCCAAAAAAATGGTGGTCGTAAGCGATTCTTCACAATTGCTTTTGAGTACTTTAAACCTTCATTTTAACTTGCACATGGTATTGAAACTTACGTTCCATCTACATTGCAGACTTCTGCTGGACCAGCTGTGTTGATCGGGGGAGTGAAGAGGTGTGATCCATGACCGAGATAGCTAGTCCAGCAAAGCCCTCTAGTGTAGATGCAGTTACACTGTTAAAACTGCGCTTTTACTGGTATAGCTTCCTTCGCTTGGTGCAGGAGGAAGAATCAACTATACCAGTAAAAGCACAGCTTTGTCTGTATAAGCTGAGCCAACACTAGGGGCACTTAGCCAGTGTAGTATATTGGTACAGCATACCAGTAACATGCTCCTAGTGCATGGTTTTAGACAATGGTAGAATATGTAGATGCAATTGAAGGTTACAATTTTAATAGTGTAAAAACTGTCATGAGGATTTGCATGTCGCCATCATTCTTCTCTGAGAAGCAAGAGTCTCACAACCACAAATGAAGCCTTGAGTTTGGTTATAAAGGTTTATTCTCAGCAAAAGTAATATTGGTCAGATATTCCCTTAATGCCAACAAATATAAGGAATGTTTCAAGCGCCCACATACTAGGCAGCAACATGGAAGTTACAAATCATCTCTTTTACTGTTAAGCCAGAAACACTTTGCAATTTATTAATAATAATGAATCTTAATTTCTACCTTCAAAAGTCTTTCTTTTCAAAGGAACATCGCCAAAACTGTGGACATAAATACTGTGGTGGGATATCATAGGACTCTCAAGTCTGCTGCACTAAAAACTTAGGGCACTATACATTTATCAGAAAACTTTGTAAATATGTTTTATATAGTTATTATGTCTAGGTAAATAATATGCATTTCTAAAATAATCTAAATGTGTATTTTCTGTGCATGTGTTTACATGAAAGTGGGATGACTTTAAAAACGTCTTTGAGAGACTTTTTATAAAATCCTCTTGCATTTGTTATGTCACCATGAAGAGAAATAAAAAGAAAACAAACCTCAAAAATAGAAAGTTTGACATCAATATAAAGAAATTCAGGCCTGAGGTTGAAGTTCCCTTAAGGCCTGGTCTACACTGGGGGGAGGGGGGAGATCGATCTAAGATACGCAACTTCAGATACGAGAATAGCGTAGCTGAAGTTGACGTATCTTAGATCGACTTAGAATCACTTACTTCGTGTCCTCGCGACGCGGGATCGACGGCCGCCACTCCCCCGTCGACTCCGCTTCCGCCTCTCGCCGTGGTGGAGTTCCGGAGTCGACGGCAGAGTGATCGGGGATCGATTTATCTCGTATACGCTAGACATGATAAATCGATCCCCGATAGATCAATCACTACCCACCTATCCAGCAGGTAGTGTAGACGTACCCTTAGCTACTAACTCTGTAATACCTTGCTATGTCTATGGCAGGTGGGGGATAGCTAAACAGCTCTGAATATGTAAAAGGTATAAACATCAAGGAGGGAGAGAAATAGCTTAGGATGTTACAAAAAGACTGTATGAGTAATAAGGAATAAAACTGTGAAACTAAGATAATGAAAATTTAAACTGAAGATCAGGACAAACTTCGTAGTAATGAAATTTATTAGACTGTGGAATAGTCTCCCAAGAGAAGTGGTTTGAGACCCATTTAAGGAAACTGGACATTGCATTAACAAATATATTATAAGGAATGTCCTTTATTACAGGGGGTTGGACTAGATGACCTAATCAATCTTTTACGTTTCTACTTTTGGTGATTCTGTGACAACCATTGTAAGGGCTTTCTAAACAGTGGCTGATTTTACAGACCATACATTGTATGCTACAGTTATTTGATACAATGGGTGAGTTAAAGATGGGGTTTCATTCTGAATTTCTTTACTTTTGTGGGTTTGAATCAGACCCTTAGTGTTGTTTGAATATATTTTTTGTAGCTTAACATTAATAATAGGTCATTTGTAACTTTCATTTGGTTATGTTGCTGACATCAGCCTAATCTTACTCTCTCTGGCCTCTTGGAATATTCACTTTTAACACCCACACAAAGAAGATATTCCCGGAAATTCTCTTTGAAGTTTACACAAAATAAACAATTAGATTTTTTTTCCCTGAGAATTACTGCCCAAAGCAGTTCCTTGTCTGGCAACTTTTGTCAAGATTTTCTTAAAATATTTTTTAAATGTTTATGTATGTCCAGGTTCTTAACCCAGTAAACTTGTAATAGAGGAAGTCTGCCCAGTATGTCAGTGCTTTCCTCTCCTACTGCTGCATTTTAACCAACTTACTATTTTTTGTTACCCTAAATAAAATGGTCAAAATTCAGCAGATACATAGTGATATAACTACGCATTCGTTGTAAATGGCAAAGTAATGTAATTTATACTTATTTTGTATTTTCTGTCAAATGAGTGCAATTTACATTTGTTACCACCCTCTTCTACTTCCGTTTTAAATACCCAGTAAATGCCAGATTGGTGCTAATTTTCTGACCCAGACTACCATTTATATTGCTGCTGAATTCAGACTACAGACTTTTACTGGAGTTGCATTTGCTCAAATTAGCTCTACATTTGTGCCCATTGATTTTACTCGTAGAAAACGGTATCTCAGTACTTAAATATAGAACTGAACATTTCTAAAGGACTGGATAGCAAGTTCTTATGTAGGTTCTTATATTACTCCATACCATCTGGTCATTTATAATCTTTTTTACCTTTTCAAAGATAATTTCCTTGTTACTGCAGATGCCTAATTATACCCAAAAAATGTAGAACTTAATATTCCACATAAAGTAGAACATTTTTGATCATTTATCATTCTTGATATTGCCTTTCTCTTAATTTACATTTGTATTTTACAGACGTTACTGATATTAATACCCCATAATGTTCCCTGCTCATGTAGATGCAGGAATTAGAGATTCTCCAATATCCATGCCCTTACGTTTTTACGGACAATTAGTTTGCCCCTTAAAAATTATGAAAACATTAAGTCTAACCAGTTGTCAGTTAAATAAGAGTTCAAAGGGATACTATACTGTCCATATGAAACTGGATACTGATAAAAGTTTAGATTATTAACAAGATAAGAAGTGTTAATTTTGCAATTTATGTCATTTGTATATTTTGGCATTTTTGTCCACTGTGACTGAAACTGGCAGGATCAGTTTCACTTTTTATTTATAGTCTATCTCACTTTCTGGTTTTCATCCATTAGCAAACTGTAGGGAAATGAATTCACAATACATTTGTTTAAAAAAATTACTTCCCTTCTCCTTTCCCCATGATTCCAATATTTTTATTTAAAAATATGTTATAACATTATTTATAATCATATCAGATATACATCTGAAACCTCCCATTTTCCCCCTAAATAAATTAAATAGTGTGGCCTTAAAATAGTTATGTCTCTTTACAGTCTAGGGGCCCAGTCCTGCAAACATTGAAGCATGTGTGAGTAGTACAGTTGTTATCATTGGACTTATATGCTTAAGTGTTTTCAGGATTGGATTCTATGGCCCTATAGAGCAACATAGCTTTAATCACATCAGTAGTTGCATTGATGTCAGTGAGTCTGCTCTCATGCTTAAAGTTAAGCATGTGCTTAAGTGCTTTGCTGGATCAGGACACTTGGGTCTAAGCATAACATTCTATAATATATGCCCCCGAAGTGTGGCTTAATATGGCTTTCTACAGTGATAAAAAGGGTAAAACAGCTAGATTTCAGATAGTCAACAAATCATGGGTGTTTCATGTAAAAAGTCCATGAGCGTTGAACCAGACCTCAAATTTACTGTTAAATAAAATACCTTCCTCCCAACGACACAGGAATGCCCTGTCAAGTTTAACATTTCAGTTAAGTATGTAAAGTACAACTTTTTCTTATCTACAGTATCAAACTATGATGTATCTTTCAAACAGACAAAGAGCTATTAGCATGTTTATTTCAGTGTTCTTTGATTGTTATAGTGCAGAAAGTTCTGAAGCCTTGCTAAAAATCCCAAGAAGACATTTTAGTGAAGTGGAAAACCGGAAACATCTTATATGTTTGAGATCGCAGATGTGCTTTGTTCTGATGAGTAAATATTATGGAATGTTATCGTGGAAAACTCTTCCAAATATTTTGTGTTCAGCAGTTTTATGCCATTCACAGTTTTATTATATTCCTTTTCTCTGTGTGGAATTTCATGCTTGCCAGTGTGTAATATGTTAATTTAAAATATTTAGTTTGCACAGCGGAGTTTGCCAACTCCATTCTTGTGTCAAGTGTAAATACATGCAAAATACATACCGCTCACGGAACAAGGAGTTTTAGCATGCTGTTTTCTTTTTAGATTGTAGCTGAACTTAAGACAACCATTTCCTCTCTGACAGAGGAAAGCAACCGGCAGCAGCTTGCTGCAGAAAGGCGGCTCCAGGATGTTGTACAAAAGTTTGAAGATGAGAAGCAGCAGATGATTAGAGATAATGACAGAGCAATCAAGGTAATCTGCGGAGTTCAGTCACTGATGCTACTAGCTGTTTTTGTGTCATTAAAATTTGAAATCATGGCAGTAGGCGAATGTAGGTATCATTCTTGTTCATACAGCATTCAGTAATTGTACTCACTGGATTTTGACTTTGATGTATCCAGTGACTCAGTCTAACTTTCCTCTAGCAGATCATATGCCTGCATAAAAAGTAACTTTTTGGCAAGTCCAATCCATTTACATGAAGCAAATGTTTTAAACTACCCTGTTCTTTTTCTTGGCGGCCTAGTTTAAGATATTCTCATATAAACTCATTCATATATTTAAGCATGTTTTCAGCATGATTCTGTATGCATTTCTAAATACTGGCCCAGATCCACAGCTGCCGTAAATCAACACTGCACCAGTGACTTCAGGAGAGCTACACTAGTTTCCACTAGCTCAGAATCTGGCCCACACACTCACCTTCTGAATTAAGGCCTTGATTCAGCAAAATATCCATTGCCAAATTCAGCACATGCTTAAGTGGTTTGTTGAATAGGAATGGAATTAATCACATCTTTAAATATATATTCTTTTGTACCAAATTCTTTCATTATATTTCTGCATAATATAAAAATAATAGTTAAATTCTCCCATCTCTTTTTTTCTTTTCTTTTTTTTAAGCTTTGCAAACCTGCCGTTTTTTATATTTTCTGACACAATAAGCAATGTATCTCTGGTCATCTTGAGACATAGCCTGATTCCCAGTGACTTCAGAAATGATGCTTACATAAGCAGCAGTGCATTTTTCCTGGTTTTTGATGCTCAGATGGTGGGAAGTTTCTTGTTAAAACATTTCCCCCGCTTAGAACAGAGTAGAGCTGATGAGTTTCTGAACCAAGCAACATTTAATCTGTGAGGGTCTGCACCTAAAATTCATAAATAAACATAGTTTAAAAGGAGAAACCTCTTCTTCCTGTGTTTGTAAAGAAAGGCTTTTGTTTGTATTAAACAAAAAAGCTGTTTTGCTAGGGGAAGGGGCTTGGGTTATATGAGAGAGCACTACAGAAGTTTACCTATCAGAACCAGGCTACAGCTGATCTTGTACTCCATAATTTAATTAATTTGCATAATGAAATTTACATTTACATTACTATCTTATCTGCACAATGTTCCCTTTCACTTTGTTTTCATAAATTGTTTAATGATATTTTTCCTGTATATGTGTGTAAAGGGATGAAAGCTTTCTTTGCTATCATTCCCTAGTCTCTTCTGTTAATGGTGTCAGTATATAGACAATGATTGTAATCTCTTATGTAAGTCTGATTATTACAAGTAGCTCTTATTAGCTCAGTGACCCCAAAACTGAGCACAGTTAAGACACGTGTTACAATTTTTTGGAACATCGTTTAAAAATAAATTAAGAAAACTATGTATTAGTAGTAGTCTAGTCAAGAACCTCTCACCTTAAAAGTGACTTTTTGGATGTACAAGAAACCCTATGACTTCAAAAGGTGCTCTAAGTCATCAGAAATATGCATATATTAAACAGTTCTCATGTATTATGTGCCCTAGAATGGCATATGTTGAAAAACAGTCTCCCAAAATGCTTATCAATTTTCTTCTGAGGATCTGATACCTGTCAGCAAATTACACTGTTAAACTTATGGCAAGATCAAGTAATTTATTTCACCAGTCTAGTAAAAATGGAAGGATGGGAAATAATTGAGTGGCTACAAAATACCAAACATTAATAATTAAATAATTGTATGACATCCTTCTTAATGTAAATCCTTTACTGTGTGTGCATTTATCATATATTTCATCTTTAATCCTCATGAGCAAGAAATATAAAATGAAAAAAGTATGGATAATGTAACCAAAAGGGGCCAAAGGGGAGTCTGCACTGTGCTGCAGCGCTGGGTCCTCAGGACCTTTGGGGGTATCACACAGCTAGCATATTCCACGAGAGCCCTTTGGTTCGTGAGAAAAGTTTCCAAGTGTTATACCCAGAGTTCTGGAGCTCTTTTTTAGCATCACTAATACTGCACTGGAAACAAGTCCTTCTTTTAAAGGCCTTGTACTGAAGGAGCCTTACCATGAGGGCAGATGTCCAGACAGAGACTTCTTATCAAGGAGAACTGCTGTAAAACATGCCTGGAGGCATAGAAAAGAGGCTTTTAAAGCACTGATCACTTAAGCACATTTCAGGACTATTCATATGCTTATGGTTAAGCATGTGCTCAAGTGTTCTGCTGGATAAAGACCCTAGCCCCCGATTTGTGTTTAGAACATAAAGTTGTTCATTTGTGAAAGTAGGTCTCTTAGAAATATAGCCTTTGTCACTTCACCTGCATTATAATATATAGTGAGGTAGAAGAGCTTGAGAGATAAAGAAGCATTTTATAGATGATATGAAATAATTTTTTCAGAAGACTGTTGTCAGAAACAGGGGTATTTGCTATAGATAGCATTGCTGATTGAAACTAAAATTGAGGAACAGACAGATTGTAATCTCCTTTATCTGGCATTAGGTGATATCCCATGAGACCTTTCAATTACTATTACCTTTTAGAGGAAGAACATTCTCGAAGAGAGACTGAGTAGCTCTGAGATGATTCTTGAGTGGTCACTTGAGTGATTTCCAAATGGGGATGTCACAGGAGATGAATTTGCTTCCAGTGATGATGACAAAACCTTCTGCCAGACACACAAAATAAGAAATGAAGTGAAATTGACACAGTGAAAGAGAAAACATTTCTCTTCATTAAAAGTAAAGTTTTATATGTACCTTCCCCAGAGTCTAAAAAACAAAAGGGTTTTATGCAGTGATTCTGCATTTCTCCCTAAATTCTAGATTGTCTACTATCCTACCAAGTTTCTACCAAAATACCCTTATTTTATAAATCTATCCATCTAATCAGTCTTGTTTTCCTTATACCATCAACTTAGTAGTGCAATTCACCTTTAGGTCTGTCACAGGGTGCCACTGGCCCTTTAAGAGGGAGCAGGACCAGTGCACTCTGTGTCTGGTCTGCTGACCCCAGTTAGGGTTAAAGAGGGCACTTGGGCCTAGAGGGGAGGAGAGACCTCATCAGACCCTGGGAGCTGCAAGAACTGGGAGCAGTGAGAAGAGGTAAAAGAGGGGAGGACGACCCTGGGAGCTGTAACCCAGAGTGGACTGAAGAACTGTTTTTTGTTTTGTTTTGCCTATACTGGGAAATCAACTGCCAGAAAAGAGATTCTGGGTGTGGCAGAGAGTCCTTTGGGAGCTGAGGAGAAGGCCAGCTTGTTACAAGGTCATGTTCACATCCTGTGATTTGTAGTGTAATCAAGTTCATTAAGCTAACATTTTCAGAATTCAGTGTCTAACATTAAGCACCTAAATAAAAGTGGCCTGATAAAATATTGAATATCTGAGAAATGGGGGCTATGTATTTAGGTGACTAATTATTGATGTATGGTGCCTAATTTTGGCCTAAACTTTGACATAAATAGCTTCATCAAACATTTATTGATGCTTTATTGTGCAAAGAACTTAAATTCAGTCTGCACATAAAACATTTTCTGTCTTTCATTATTTGTGTTTTGTCATTGTGTTTTTATCCCCTCAACAATAACTTTGTGTATGTATCTTTACATGTATAAGGGAGGTATATACATTTTATATAGGTCTATGTGCCTCGTATATTTTCCCTTTAAGCCCTTTTGAGGATCCCAGCCTGTGTGGATATGTGTTGTGTATATAGTATGAAGTATAAAAGCCTTCCATCCTAATAATTCTAGGTACTATATAAAAATAATATAAAACAGACAAAATGGGGCAATCACCCAGTATATCAGACTTGCTTGCTTGAATCATATGTTAATACCAATCCAAAAAATGGATTGCCATTAATGAAACACAGATATTCTCCTAGGACCACTCTTATTCCTAACCCCCACCCCTTGCTAAAACTAAAAAAAAAAAAAAAACCAAAAAACCTAAGCAGTATGCCCTTAAAGTCAGTTAGTTTGGGCTCTGGCAGATTAAGGAAGAAATTGAATTCTAGAGTTACAAACACCTATAGAGAAAACCTTGCAACCAGAGCTATGTAAATAACATTGTTTGATTCATTGGCCATTACAATAAATCGGGTGGCGGGGGGAATTGTGTTGGGTCGACCCAAAATGAAAATTTTTCAAAAATTTTGGCAGACCTAAAAGTTGAAAAATTTCATACAGGGTTGAACAAAACATTTTGTTGAACTCAAAACAAAGCATTTGGATTTGGTTTTGAGTTGTTTTAATTTTTCTAAAATAATAAATTTCAAAGCAAAATGTCATTTTGAATCAGAAAATTGAATAATTTTGTTTTGGAAATGTTTAAATGAAACTTTTTTGATTTTTCTCAGAATTTTTCTTTTACTTTTTGTTGTGGTTGAAACAATTAGGTGAATTCAACACAAATTTGCAAAATATTTTATTCGACTCGAAACAGCATTTTTCAGCAAAAAAAGAATTTTGGCAGAAAAATTTTGCTCAGCTTTTCTTGCAACCAGCCATCACCTTTTCAAACCAAGGGGGTTAGCTTGATTGCCTCCACTGATCAAAACTGCACCAGTGTCTCATGGGGAGAGAGGCACTCCCTCAAGTAACCAAGACCCAAACTGGTTCAGGTTTTGGAAGTCAGGACCAAAACTTTAAACTTAACCCAAACTTAATCACTGGCCAGTACAGACTACAGAGTTACTGACCATATGTGCTTATTATATAAAACATTGCCTAATAAGTAGGCAGCATTATTCTGCACTTTTGATTGATCCGACAGCTCCGTGTACAGCACACTCCATTAGTCTAAGCTGAAGGTGAGAAAGGCCTGGACTGTTCTGGAGCTCTCTACGTGAAAGAAATGATTGTACCATTCTTCCATAGCACATATGAAGCACAGTATTCTTGGTCACAGCTTCTAAATGAGCAGCCTGCACCGATCATACTAGAAAAAAAATTCTTAAAAAAGCATTTTCAAGTGTTTAGACTATAGGATTCAAGTA